TTTATTTCAGCATTGTAATATTGGTGACCCACAATTTTGTTTTGACTTTTAAATTAAGATTACCATATATGTGCTAACAAATTTAAAAATGTTGCTCTATGCAACTTATATATACCAATAGTTTTATAAGATCGATGCTTTAACAAAGATGCCGGTTGTTCTTTTACTTGTGTTACACTCATTTCCATACCTTTTTAAACGCAGATGGATTATCGACCCTCCTTTAGATGTTACAGTCCCAGCAAAGCGCACACCATGGCCAGATGCCCCTCCTGAACTTCCCACTGCTGAAAAGTTAACCAACATCCAAGAGAACACGGAAAAACGACGCACTTCAAAACCTCGATCTAGAAAACGCAGTTCCAGGAAAAGAAGGCATGCGACAAGGAACATTGATATACAACAAGCCTCCTCAACCCGAAATTCTGTGGAGGCTTAGCAGTTAAGTTCTCTCGGAGGGTTATCTCTCCGGTTGTGAATACTCGAGCCCACATGCCTTCAACTTCAAGACTACATTACTGTATGAAGGCGTCTTGTTACTATATAGACTTTTCAAGTTGATTTCATTCTTTTGTTTTCGGTCCTTTTCATTTTCTTTTCGCTGTAGTCATTTGAGTGGCTAAAGTCGATCCCTAAAATGGAGCTTATATGTCTGGTCCTGCAAAATTACTGCTCAGCTCAAATATATCCATTTCCCCACTATACAGAACATTCCTCGAGCTTGAGCTCGATACATCTGTGCTTAGCTTTGGCCCTTTGGGTATTATATATATTGTGAATATAAGTTTTTGGACTCGCCTTTTCCAGCAGTTTTTTCACCAATTGTGCTGTGCGCTTGTAACCATTGCCGCAGACTTGCATGCACAAGTTTGATGTATTGGTTGTATTCTTGCACTCCAGGTGCTTGAGATTCTGTTTTCATTTCTCTGGCATTACCAGTGAAGGTGTTCAGTTGCAATAGGGTTTGTTTGGAAGTGCTTTAGTTGGGTCCCGCTTTAGTTAAATGTAATTTTACGGAGAAGTGATTTCATTGAAGTCCTTAAATTATGGGCCATTTTAAGATATTTTTTCTTTCAAGAGAAGCACTGCCACAATTAGGGCCGTTCTATACGCAGCCAGAAAATGGCTAAACACAGCCACCGTTTAAATTAATTAAATACCAATCTATTTGTAAATATCTCTTTTACCCCTAATTAAATATACACAGCCATCCATCCAGTCCAGAATATTGACCGTCCACATTCCTGATCCCGACATAGGAGCTAGCTGGAGCACACTCATTTCCTACGTTCCTTCTTCTTCCTCCCATTCTCCACTAGATCGGACTTAGATCAGCCTTAGATCGTCTTCCTCCATGTCTCCGGTCTGAATCTATCTCGCCAGTAGCTCATTACCGTCATCGTCTACCATGGCCGAGAGTCAAATCGCCACCGTGTTTCTGTCCAGCCATATCTCAGCTAAGGCCATCATACCATCCTTTAATCCCGAAACTGTGGACGAATCAAATACTTCTCTCGTGACCAGCGCCACAACCACCCTCATATCAGAAGGACCATCCTGAAGAAGGATGATATCACGAAGATGATGACGGAACAAACTTTATATGTCACGGATTTCCGAAAACCTTACTTAACTGCTATGGTTGAGGACTACAAAGGCATCAGGGGAGGCTTTCAAAAATAAGGTATTCTATTTCATTCTATTCATCCATATGGATTTTTCCTTCTGATGTGTTCAGATTAATGTGTATGGAATGGTTATAATATTAATTTTTCATTTACTTGGAATCAGGTGGTATTAATCATTTCAATTAGATTATCTAGTTTAAAATGGTGGCTTTATCATACATGTCTTGTGCACATTCAGAGCATAGTATATATCAAATTAATTGTTGACATTTGTTTGATGTCAGTACGAATTGATGTGTAAAATCCTAGAAGTGCTAAAGTTCCTTCCAGCGGTTTGTTACACTATCAAAATTTCTCATTTTTTTATAAATTTGAATTGGTCTCTTACTATTCTTGTTAATTGTTCCAAAGACTTGTTAATTGTTTAATTTTTTACTATTCATAATTTTGGTCAAGGGAAAAGCTTTGATGACTCTAAAACTTGATGTTTCAGTGAATTTGAGGTTGGTATTTTGGTATTGAATTGCTCTTCACATGTATTTTGGCCGTCTTTTTTTCACCATTTATGCCTTCAAATATGAAACTTTGAGGATTATTATCGAGAATGCTTAAAACTGCAGTTTTCTATGCTCTCTATATGAAAACAGAAACAAGATTATCTTGCAACAAGTGAAATTGAGATAGAACGGCTAAAGGTTGAGCACAAGAAATCCATGGAATTGCTTCAGCAATAACAGAAGACATACCGAAGATTGCACCAGTTTAGCATCTCTGAGTTGTGGAATAATGGGGAGGAGGAGCAAATTAGAAAGAATGGTGTTGATGGCCTAAGGCATGTGAGGTGATTTTTTTCTGGCAATGAACATGGGCCTTTTATTTTAGATTCTGTCTTAGTTCTTGGTACACACATCTTTGCTAAATGTTGAAATTTTGATATAGGCAAGCTGGTAGAGTTCGTGGTTTGGCATATATTAATGTAACAAAAAGCTTTGTTGCTGAGAAAGAAAAGGCTAGCAGTGATGCAAAGACCAATATACTGGTGTCTGGTATGTTCTGTCTTGGGACTTCTTCTTTTACTCTATGCAACTTGCTATTTAAACTAGTGTGAGTCCTATGTTTTTTTAATAATTTCCATTTTCATTGTAACAACACATTACAGATTCACTATCTGAATTTTTATATAATTATGTGTTACTGAATGCAGATTAAATATTTGGAAAATTAGATCCTCATACAAGCTACACAACCCTAGTAAAATTAGAATAAGATTAAAAAAAGTGATGAAGTAAGTAATGAAAACACCAAAACATATGTACCACAATTTGTTGAGTTTGATAAATACTATTAATGCAAAAAAATTGAAACAAATGAATTTTTCTGTACATTTCTAAATTCAATATGCATCTTTTTTAACTACTAAAATTCCATTAGTGCTATCTTCTTCCAGCGCTATTCAAAACTTGTCCTCCTGACACATTACCTTCTCAACCTGAAAAATAAATGTAGATTAAATAGTTAATTGGGAATTGGAATTCTCCAGTTTATTGTAGATTAATCATAAAATAATAATATATCACATACTATGGCTCATCTAAGATAATAACTTCATCCCTACGAACATTCGGTTGTGCAGATAGAATGTCATTGAACTCCTTAATACGGGATAAATATGGGGTATCCCATCCTATAGCAGAATCAAGCCGAAATTGTTTCCAATGAGGAACAATGGGTGGTATTGGCGCATTAGGATCAAGAGAAACCTACAATCATTTTATACGAATCAAGGTTAACTGTCAAGATGTAATATCAATGTTTAGATGTAAAGTACCGAATGAGTACGTACCTGGACATAGTGATTGTTATTTATAAATCCAATCACTAAGACTTTATGATGTTGTTGTGCTGGTGGAGTAGATCGAAGAGGGAGAAATGTGTTACATGCTTGTTTTGAAAGAAAGACTAGCACCACATTATATTTAGAGGAAACCAAATGACCCATGTCTGGTAAAGTCATCCAGTTCTTGTATGGGGCTGGAACTACAAAACACGATAGTTCTTCAAGCAATTTGGCAACAAGTTCTAGTGATTCATAAAATTTAACATAATATGATCTGTGATTGCATAGTTCTTCAATTAAGTCTTCACGTATCTTTGACCAATTATCCTCTCCATAACCCAATAAAGCAGAAATGGCACGAAAACCACAATGACCACCTGGCTTGACATCATTTACGTCTAAGATATATGGATGTAAATATGATGGAAAAGAATCCAATTGTTTTTTAAGAGATTTGAATCTTTTTACAACAACTTTCTTCTTCTTTTGAGCTACAACAAGATTTTCTTTTACTTCAGCATCATGTCTTGATACCTCTGATTCAACAATTTCAAAGTACGATGGATCACGTCGAGTTGATTCTGTTTCCTTCAACGAAGGACGACCCTTTGTTTTAGGTTTCTCAGATGGTGGAGTAAGGAATGTAGTTGTCGGGTCACCTAGTTCTCTTAACTTTCTTTTCAATGCCAACTTTCCTGTATGATTGGAAGCATAAAATCTTGACCAAATTGAGTTCATCTCAAAATCAATACTCACCTCAACCACATTTTCACTGATCTTATATTCTTTCAAGTTTAAATGCATCCAATGAGGGTGAATATCTGAAAGAGGAATGGGGTTACAATGTCTTACATGCTTAGCAATTTCATGTGCACAAGGCAATTCGTGAGTGATTCTGATGGCACACCCACATAAGTCAGTGTCACCCTCAATATCTTTTGCTCTTTTGGACTCTGTCAGAATCAGATTTAGTGCTTTTCTAGAAACTAATCCTCTCAAGTTTCTAAACAATGAAGGCGTGAAATTATGCTCCACTACATTCAAACTGTGTTGGAATGAAGCTTTGATTTCAGTGTGTTGCAACTCAAGTAAAGAGTTGATTAGGTTCCAAGAACAATCAAAATCTAGTTGACTTGACCCAAGCCATGTTTTTAACTTTGCATGTGCACTCTCGGCTCTGCACAAGTGAAAGAATAATAGTATAAGTTCTATAATTCTATGTATTTAAGAAAATTGCAAAGCGTGAAACTCTTAAAATAGTTTAGAGCATGATAATAATACCTATTTGTTGTCAAATTGCCGAAGTGCATAACTTTGTCGGTCCAAGCTGCTACAAATCTCTCTTTATAGGGAAGTAACCATGTATCCCTCACATACTTGAGAAGAGTTGGATAACCTTCGTAGTCACTTTCAATAGCAAATAAGTTTTTAGCATACTCACTCTCGTTTGCAGAGAATACAAGAACACTCCAGGCTGCCATGAATTTATCACAATCCTCTTTGAGTTCAAACAACTTTCTTGAATGGGCAAGGACATTTTTTGTGATATGAAACCTACATAAAAGATTTGTTGTTTCGGGAAAGACTTTCTTAACAGATTTCATAAACGCCAAGTCTCTGTCGGTCACAATTACACTAGGCATGGTACTTGATATCATCAATGTTTTTAATTTTTCCATTGCCCATGTGTAGTTATCTTCACGCTCAGCTTCCATGTAGACGAAAGCAACTGAAAAAGTAAGGTCTGTGCATGTCACACCTACAATCTCTAATAGCGGAAGACCATATCGATTTGTTTTGTAAGTACAATCCATAAGTAAAACCAACGGAAAGGCATTCAAAATATCTATAGAAAACGGGTGCGCCCAAAACAAGTCTCTTACACAGTCAGTTGACTCGTTTCTCCTATGCCATTCCACATACCCAAAATCACCCAATCTTTTCATAAGTTGTTGCATTTGTGATCTTCCAGCTTTCTCAAGCATTTTATGTTTGTGACGAGCATTATATATCGTCTTCATTGTAGTTGTGTTCTTTTTGTCCTTCGCTTTTATAGTCACAAGTATGTTTCTTGGTTTGACCATATTTTTCGTCATATCTAAGAGTATGGTGTTCTCCTCTTTACTTAATCTCCCGGTAAAAGCGTGACCCTCAAGGTTTTCTGCAGGTGGATGATTATGATATCCACACTGAATTTTTACTTCCCAATCATCATTCGTTTCTAATTTCACGCCCTGTAACTTAAATGGACATCCATTTTTTTTAGTTCCTGTCCCCTTGCGACGTCGTGCCTCTATGTTAATTAGTTTCTTAGGAGTTCTGTAAGTCCCACCACGTTCACAGCCAAGTCGTAGTCTCGCTTTTTTCCCATCATCTCCCGATGAAGAAGAAACAATCACAATTACATAACCTATGTTCTTCCCAGTTTCTCTGGCCCATGTAATTAATTCATTTTTGCTGTTAAATATCTGCAATGTAAATTACTTCAATTATATGATATATATACATATTTTGAACCATATACCATATACTTGTATATTACATGATGATTTACTTACTTTATCCGTAGAAAAAGCAGCAACGGAACTCCACAAATCTAAGTCATTTGCATAATTTAAATCCTGTCATGAGAAGAAGCAATTAAGAAAAATGGTAAAAAAAGAGTTGATTTTTCACTATTAAAAAGAAATACCTGTGATTTGACATCTTGTTGTTCTGCACTGCTCATGTCATCTGTGTTCTCTTGTTTAAGCTAAAACGGATAGACAAAGGTATGAATCATGACATGAGAAGTAATAAGCTGAGATATTTGTTAATGGCTTGACCATTACAATAGAGATGATGAACACCATTCAATATGACCCAACAAAAATTATAATTTATAACTATGAAATTTAGTGGATAGAATAGTTATTTCTAGTATCAACAAAAATTGCAAATTAAACACTCATAATAAATGGAAAACCATATCTAGAATCATGATCCCCTATAATACCAATATTTCAACATGATTACTGCACATTTTGATTCTAGAATTGTGAAAATAAAGGTGTATTTAGACACTCTGAATCACTGCACGTTTTTATCATTACTTATGAACATAAAGGGAATTAGAATCTTACACTTTCCATGATTACTGCAATTAGTGAGAGGTGATGACTACTGATAAACCATGTTGATTGTAGCACATATTCAAATGCTGGAAACAACAATTTGAAGCAGGCCAGAAGAAACAACTCGACAGTTCTACTCCAATTCTTCGAGAAGGCAAATTTCAATGAGGGGAGGTGCGAGAATGGTTGATGGAAGCGGGTGTATTGTGCGATCGATGATTAAGACAAAGACCTACTTGGTTGAATTAAAGCAGCGATGGGTTGTGATATATTTACATAAGGGTAAATTAGACCTTGAAATAATTTTATTTATTTATATTTAATTAGATGGCTGCAAATAGCAATTTTGTGGCTGTATATAGAATCACCCCACAATTACGCTTAGGCATGGACCGGTTCCGGGCCGGGCCAAACCGGGTTTTTTATTTTTGGGGGAAGGCCTGGAACCGGCCCGGGATTCCACCGGGTCCGGGCCGGGCCGGTCTCGGGCCATTTCATACAATGAGTTTTATTTGGTCCAGTACTGAAATTGAGTTTGGTTGAAGTTGAGGTTGAACTGACACGTGATCATACCATTAAGAACTTGAGATTGTGATTGAAAGTAGGGGTGGACTCGGGTCGGGCCGCCCGGCCCGGCCCGGAACCGGCCCGGACTGGTACTGTTTGGGCCCGGACTGGTCCGGACCACCCGAACCTGGAATTAAACGGGGCGGGCTCGGGCCTCCTAAAAGTGGAACCGGCACAGCCGGCCCGGGCCCGGTCCTGGCCTTTTTTTTTCATTTTTTTTGTTTCTCGTGGGTTGGGCTGGGTGTTTGGGGGGGGGGGGGGGTTTGGGGGTCGGGGTGAAGGGGGGGGTCAGGGGTTAATTAGAAAAGCAAAAGAAAATAAAAAAAAATACATTGAACCGCCCGGCCTGGAACTGGCCCGACCCGGCCCGGAACCGCTGCCCGCCCGGGCCGGTTATGGTTCTCCCTTCCCAAAAAAAAAGCCCGGACGGGCCCGAACCGGAACTGGCCCGGCCCGGGTCCATTGAATTTTGCTAATTTTGCTACCAGGCACAAAAATGTGTGATAATTTATGAAACACATGGTTGTTATATGATGAGCTTAGAGTTATACATATGACGATATTATAGAAAGGGATTTGGTCATAGATATTACTAATTACTCCCTCCGTCCCTTAAAGGATTGCCATGTTTGACCGGCACGTAGAATAATAAAGTAAAAACTGTGTGGTAGAGATTTGTGCAGAGGAGAGAGAAATAACATGAGCCACAAATTGATTGATTAAAATGGAAAGTGGCAAAGTTTTTGGGACAACCAAAAAAGGAAAGTTGGCAAAGTTATAAGGGACGGAGGGAGTATAAGGATTTGGACAAAACTAAGTCTTGTTCTAGCAAATGCCAAAAATGAGACCAAACGGCTAATCACATAGCCGTTTCCTAGGATTAAACTATTAAAATGCCCCTGCTATACTAATGAATACTCCCGTACGTTGTAAATCTTATAGCCATTTCCAAAGTTCGCTGCAATCATTTCCAAGATTGATTTTTATATATCTTCTTAATTACAATTATCCGGTAATGCTTAATTTAAGTTGACTACTTACAATTACACGTTCAATTACTTACAATTACTTGTCCAACCAGTTAGAATTATCCGACGCCACTTACAATTATCCCGGTAAGTTAAAATTACCTGACCAATCAATTACAATTATAAGATCCAACCAGTTACCTGACCAGTTACAATTAACTGACCAGTCACAGTTATTCAACCCGATCAATTACAATTACACGATCCGACCAGTTACAGTTACCCAACCTGACCAGTTACAGTTACCCGATCCGACTAGTTACAGGTACCCGACCCGACTAGTTACAATTATCCGACCCGACCAACTACAGTTACCCAACCCGACCAGCTACAGTTACCCAACCCGACCAGTTACAGTTACCCGGCCCGGCCAGTTACAGTTACCCGACTCATTCAGTTACTCGACCCCGTCCCCAGTTAAAATTACCCGATCAGTCCAGTTATAGTTACCCGACCAATGACCCGCATCACAGTGACCAAATGTTCAGTGACTTTTGTCCAGTGACCAATTGGCAAAGTGACATTCGCTAGGTGATCAATTTTTATAGTGATTCCCGTGCATTGACCATCGCCACAATGACCATCGTCTACCAGTTACAGTTACACCCGACCACCGTCCCAGTTACTAGTGTTCAAGTGACCACCGCGACACTATTGATCAATGAACTCCACCCACCCCGCCACCTGCCCCTTCCGGTGACAGCCGCCTAACCCTTTCCGGTAGCTGCCGTTACCCGTCAACTGACCAGCCGCACAACCACCTTGCTACTTCCGCTTACCCCTGCGCCGACCTATCCAGCAACGGTTGCCGGCCAAAGGACTGCCCCGCCCCTCACAGTAACCGTCACCTCCATCTATCGTGCATGTCCCCTCCCCAGCCCCCCCTCTCTATCCCCAGCCCTCTCCAGCCCAGATCCAGCCCCAGATCTTCAATCCACCCCCAACCCGACCCAATTCTGCCACCAGCAACGGCCAACATTGACATTCATGCTCCCCCAAGCTATTGCTGAAATTACCAATCCCGAACAACCCTACCCCACTGCCCCACCCCGTCTCTGGCCTTGGCAACCATTTTTGCATTGCCGCCAACCCTCAACCGGAAAACCTAGATGCATGTGCGAAGAAAACAATACAGGAGCTCCAGATCTAAATCTGCATCTCTGGTTGTGATCTAATGTCGATAGTGTAGAGAATGTTTGCAGACAGAAGAAAGGGGAAGAAGAGGATCAAAGGATTGCAGTCGACGACGACGACGACGGAGATCGAACCAGGCGGCGGAGAAAGGAGCGGCAGAGGCGAGATGTCATCGCCAATCGCAGCGTCAGAGCTTCTGCCGTTGGACGTCGTCGCCATTCGCCGAAGTTGAAGAGTTGGTTTGGGAACCAAGACGACTTTCCTTATGTGTGAGCTCTAGTTCAGACGGAATAGGAGGGCAATGGTTGTGCAGGAGCTATCGTTTAGACGAAGGATGAAGATGGCTGGGATAGATTTTTTAATACTCAGTATTTATGTAAGGGTACTTTTGTCAGTTCGGATTTATTTAGTCTCATTTTTGTCAGAATTATAATTCAATCTAGTTTTGTCAATACGAAGCCTGGTTGTCCTATTCCTGCCATTCTTTCTTATAGAAAATTAAACTTGCTCCGTTTGTTTGTCTAATTTAAGATTCCAATGGTTAACTGAAATTGAAGTTTAATCACAATATTTAAATTAGTACTGACAAATGAGTTTTAAAAATTTTAAAAATACATTTTAACTGAACGAATACATGATGAAACTCATCACATTAAATGTGGCTTTTAAATGCAAACGGTTCATGATGGCAATTCTATCAAAGTATCAAACAGTTCAGCGGTAATCCAATTTCCAAATCGACTAAGCATTCACCAATCCATTATAATATCTTCCATTTAAGCATCTCTCTGAGTCCTCGGAGCACAGCGGTAATCATGTTTATTCAGGGACAACCGCCAATACTACCTTAGGAGAACGAAGAAATCACACCTCACAAGTAACAACAACATTACCCCCGAGGCGTCTTTAGTATATTGAAGATCCTAGGCGGAATAATATGTAAGTAGTATTTACTATGCTCAAATTATCTTGAAAAATGATGTACCTACATATGTATGGGTAATACAAAAATTACAAACAAATCAATTCACAGAGAAACTAAAATTTCTTTGGTAAATTACTAAAAAAAAATTTACTTTCCAAACAAAAAAAAAAAAGATTTGGCGGATGTTGATCCAATTACTTTCCAGGTGAAGTTTTTAATGAATAGGGTATGATTTATGTACATTCACGTATGCAGTGGCATTTTATGTTATTAACGTCACATTAGAATAGCAAATGAGTCGTTTCATATCACATTTGTGATGCCCTATTTTTCACCTTATAAAAAGTATCCGTATCTCACCAATATGGCCAAACACGCATAAACTTGAGGTAAAAGCATCATGAATTGCGCTAAGTATTTTTTCAATTTTAAAAATGTGATTAAGCTTAATGATTTAGTGAAACGTGCTGTTATCATCGCGCCACGATTTCTTTGTATAATACACGAGGTACGTTCTTTCATTGGATTAATTTAGTTTGTCTAATGCTTGATGTGATCTGTCATTATCAATGTTTTTTTCTGTATAATTAAGAACCATTTTATTCTTATACGTATATTAGTATCAATTAAGCCGCAATTGTTTCGGTAAGTTCTACTACGAATGTGTTTGTTGTAAAATAAACGAGTACTTGATCTTCCTAATTGAACATAACTTGATAGTTTTTATCATCATTATCAATACAAAACAATGAATATGTGATTTACTATGAGCTCTTAATCCAAAGTTGGTTATATAAAGTTGGTTAATCTCTCTAAGGGGTCTTTGATAACACCGAGATGAGATGAATTGACTGAATCTAATAAAATTGGTGAAGTTTTGATCGAAACAATTGAATGGATTGAATTTATTAAATTAAGAAAAAGTTATATTTGAAATATATTTTATTAATTGAATGAAAGAAAAAATAATATAAAAATGGAGTATAAAGTAGTTAT